AGAACTCAAGAAATAGAAGCAATACACTTTATTAATTTATAGTACCCAAAATCCTACTAGGTGCTTTATAAAAAAAATACACAATCCCAGTCCTTAAAAATGTACAATATACATTTACAATGTAAAGTTACATGACACAAGGTGAAGGTGTCAAGCATTAGGGGAAAGCCTGGGGCTTGGAAAGACGGGAGTTACAGCAACATGGTCATGCAGTTAAGAAGTAAAAACCGTGACCATTGTTGACTTGCTTACTGGGGGCATCACAGAAGAGGTGGATTTTAAATGAGGCTAAGGCAATAGTTGAATGCATTAAAGTAGGAAGGGTGTTCCAGACACATAGTGTGTGGAAAGAGTTGAGGATGCTTATGGGAAAATCAGATAAAGCTTATATTTGATGGCATGGAGGAGGAACCAGCGCAGAGCTTCAAAGAAGGGGGTGACAGGGCCAGACTGACAGCTATGAAGATCATTTTTGCAGCTATGTTCTAGAGGGCCTACAGGGGCGGGGGGTAATGTGAGTGAGGAGGAGGCCAGGCAGGAAGAGATCACAATAATCAAGATGGTACAGTACATGATATGGGCATGAGTTAAGAGTTTTTGCTGTTGGGAGTGAGAAAAGGGTCATGTCTTGGAAGTGGAGGGGAAGAAGAAACAGCAGGGTTTGAACATGGATTAGATGGGAAGGGAAGAGTGAGATGAATGGGAGAGTTGATAGTGATCTGAAGGCTGGAAGCTGGAATGAATACCAAGATGGTGGTATTACCAACAGTAACAGAGACAGGAGGAAGAGGAGTGTGTTTAGGAGGGAAAATCAGGGGATCTCTCTTACTCATGTAAAGTTGTAATTGTCTGAGAGATATCCAGGGTGAGATGTCAGAGATGCAAGATGAAATGGGACTGGCTAGAGGGGGAGAGGTAGATTTGGGAGTCATCTCCGTAGAGAGGATAGTCAAAGCCATGGGAATGGTTAAGGTCACCCAGGCAAAGGATGTAGAGAGAAGTGCAGGGACCCAGCCCTGTGGGCCACCTCCTCTGCACAGAGACTGTAGGTGGGGAGAAGATGGAACCAGCAAAAAAGATGTGGAAGAAGGAATGAGATATAGGGGGGGAACCAAGAGAGACTGGTATCATTAAAGTCAAGGGAAGCGAGGAGGGAGTGATCAGCTGTGTCAAAGATCAGTGTTGACGGAAAGTGAGAAGGTGCTAGGGAAGGAGGGACAGACCTTATCAATCTTCTCTGTAGCTAGTCGGGAAATTTCCTTTGGAAAGATTGTCCAACAGAAAATGACCTTTTTGTAAAATCAAAATTTTCTGTGGGAAAATTTAAATTTTGTCCCAAAATTTTAATTTTCTGTTGGGGAAATTGAAATGATGGCTCCCAGGGAGAATGTGAAATTGACAAAAGACTTCCTGGTGGGCAGCCAGGGTGTTGAGAAACTTCATTTCAGATATCCCAAAATGGAATTTTTCTGAATTTTCTGTCCCATGAAATTTTTTTTTTCTTTTCATTCCAAATCAAGACAGTTTTTTTCCTGAAATCTCAAAATTGTCTGTGGGATGAAAATTCCTTTTTTCTGGTCAACTCTCGCCTTCTTGAAGATATCCGAGAGATCCTGTGCCGAGAGGAAGGGAATATGGGGCATGGGGAAGATTTTGAGGGAGTCACCAGTGCTGAATAAGCAACAGAGTTTGAAGGTCTGGGTCTTAGTGAGGAAAATGCAGTCCTGTTTGTCAACGAAGAAGGAAGAACTGAAGGAAGACAGGATATAGTTATCTGCAGAGGTACCACACTGTGGAAACTGGAGGATGTGGATGTTGGATCGGAGCTAACGTTAAGAGTTAGTGGGATGGACTATGGGAGAGAGGGGCAGAGGAGTCAAGGATGGAGAGAAGGCATCAACAACAGTCAATACAGATGGGGGAAACAAGGGAAGGAAAAAAGGAGCTGCAGAGAACATGGGCAGTTATGACTGGAGGTTACAGAATAGGAAGCTAAGAATTATCAGACTGAATCAGACCAGAGCTGCTTCTCATCCAGTCTCTTATCACTGACACGAGCTGGTTCAGATGATACAGTAAAAAACTCTGCTTCAGCAAGAGAAAAGAAAGGGATAAGGGATAGAAATAGAATCATTACAAGATGACTGCTAGGTACTTTAGCCAGGAGAAATGGTTAGAATTTCTACTGATGGGCCTGACACTTGGGGAGATTGGGCTGGAGCCATACAGCGGTTTGCCCCAAGGTCATATGAGATTAAACCGGAAAGAGGGCTGTACCCGAGCCAAAACCTGCCACCGGTTCCAGGGATTCCCTGACGTAATGCCTTACCAGGAGAAGAATATGCCTGTGAATCTACCTGCTAAACAGCCTGTTGGCTTGCCTGTGACCTCACTTGTCCTCCTAGAAATGGAGCAGCTTACCGAGGACTCCAGGCCAGGGCTGCAAACCACCCAGCGCAGCACAGAGCCATTGAGCTCACTAGTAATGACATGTCAGACACACCCAGAGGTGAAAGTAAGCCGGTCTGGTCCGGTACGGCGTAGTGGCAAGAGCCAGTACACTGTCAACTGTACTGGCTTCCCCAGGCCGGTGATTTAAAGGGCCCGGGACTCCCAGCAGTGGCTGGAGCCCCAGGTCCTTTAAATTGCTGCCAGAGCCCCGGGGCTCCCGGCCGCCTCCACAGCTGGTAGCTGGGGCGGTGATTTAAAGGGCCTGGACTCCCAGGTGCCGCTACCACAGCCGGAGAGCCCTGGGCCTTTTAAATCTCAATTTAAAGGGCCCGGGGATTTAATGGTCCCACCTCTTCTGGTTGAGGCCCCGCCCCTTCTGGGTGAGGCCCCGCCCCCCTGCTCAGGCATACCGGTAAGTCTTTTAAGTTACTTTCACCCTGGACACACCAATGCCACCGCAAGAGCAATTCAATCGCAAGGCCCTTCAGCTATCTGGCCTGTTCGCCACCCAGGAAAACAGAGTCACCGAACAATTTCAAAAATGCAAAGACGCACTGAAACCGGTTGATTTTCTGTAGGGTTAGTTGTGTTGCGGTAAGTGATCAAACAGAAAAGTTTAAAATGAATTGTTTTGTGAAAGGGGAAGTGTAGGTGGAGCAGCATCTATTGTTATGTAAGCGTGTGGGTTTGCCTGATGAATTCAAGGTCACCCTTCACACCCCAATGCAGAGAATGCTAATAAGAAGAGAGTTGCCTGGTGCGTGTGCTTGTTAGCTGGATGTAAAGTTCAAATAAAGAACACAAGACAAGCTCTCCCCGTGTTAATGTGGAGAACAACATCTGCTTCATGGCTTGATGCAGAAGGGTTCGTATTCCTTCCAAAACACTTGGGATTTTTAAAATCTTTGTTACTGTAATTCTGGATGATCTCGTTAACTATAGAAGAGTCCAATTTGCTTCTGAATCCTACTAAACCATTGGCCTTGATAACTTGTGACTAAGTTCCACAAGCCATTTATTTGCTCTTTTGACTGATGCTGCATGTTGTGCAGAGCTTTTCACTGAATTGTCTACAGTGATGCACTGGGACATCACTGGGGGCGTGAAGTGGGATTTAACACAAAAGGCAGAACATTACCGGGTGCTGCTAGGCACTACTGTAATAATAATAATAATAAGAATTAATATGGGGTGATGTTCATTGGAGAGGATGGGACATCATGAGGTGTAGCAAGAGGGTAAATTTCACAGGGAGCTGGTGTAGGGAGAAGGTAGTGCACTATGAAATGCTGTATGGGAGTATAAATGGTAGTATTGCTAACTTCAAACATTAAAAAATTATGAGTTTGGGCCTCCCAAAATCATGAGGTTTTTGGGGGGGGAGGGGGGAGTTATTTTAATTTTTCTTCTAGTTCTGAACATTTAGAGGGCATTTGGGTCAAATTCTCAAGTTTTTCTCCTCAGCCATGAAGACTAGAGACTTACTTTTTGTTTTAAATAAAAGCTGAGATTATTACATAATCACCTGACTCCAGGTGCTAGTGATTTAATAAAATCACAAGAGCTGACAACATTGAAATGGTCCCTTTTTAATAACAAAGAGTAAATTGTTAAAAATGGCATCCAGAAATCTCTCTTCAATCTCTGGGTAATGTGAACAAATTATAAGAGTGCAAGTAGAGGGATAAACCTCGAGGTTTAGGCTTTACAGAGTGCTTCTTCAAGCAAAACTCGCATGAATTCAAGGAAGGTCTGAGTTAGAATTAAGGGAAGGTCTACACTCAAAACGTTGCAGATGGGAAGGCTTCTCCCATCAGAGCAGGGACTCCACCCCCGCAGAGGCAGCAGCTAGTTGGCAGGAGAAGCCCTCCTATCAACACAGTGCTGTCAATACCATGGGTTAGGTCAGTATAACTGCATCACTTGGGGTGTGGATTTTTTACACTCCTGAGGAACGTAGTTATACCAACCTAATTTCCTAGGGTAGACCCGGCCTAAGTGAGTGCTTTGGCATTGTTACAGAGCCTGGGTCTTATAAGAAGTTGCTGAGTGAAGAAAAGGAAATGATCTAGCAGTATCCTACTGACATGCTACCCATTATCAGGTATTTATGGTGTACATCTTAGCAGCCATATAGCAGCATTGTAATGCTGTGTTGCAGCTGTGTCAGTCCAAGGAATTAAAGAGACAAGGTGGGTGATGTAAATATCGTTTATTGGACCAAGTTCTCTTGGTGGGAGAGACAAGTTTTCTGTCCCACCAAGAAAAGTTGGTCCAATAAAAGATATTATCCTACTCACCTTGTCTCTCTAATATAGTATCATTGTCACTTTGCTTAGTTGATAAATCAGAAATGGAACGGCTTTTCAGTTCATTCTAATCAGTTACGGCAAATGACATTTCTTCAGCCTATTACCTAGGAGAGCTTTATCCTGAATAGAGAAGAGCCCACATCCAGCTCCTGTTACAGTCAAAGGAAAGATTCTCAATGAGAGATGGGTCAAGGCCTAAATCAGTTTGCTGAAAAAATGCATGTTGCTATAATTTACCTGATTTCTGTCAAATTCATTCATGGCATCTTTAACTCCCTTGAGGTAGTTAACACCCATGATCCAGGTGAAGCGCGGTACGAATCCAGTGTAGCCTTTAGGTGAAGAGAAGAGAGCACATTAATTGCTTGAGAACACATCACTACACACTGTTTGGGGCTCAACAATATACAAGCAGGATCATTTGGGAGAATTAGATACATATATTTAAAGTCCTATTTTTGGCAAATTCAGATTTTTTTAAACCATCTCTATTTTAAAATTTAAAATCAGATATTTCACACCTATTGGTCATTTTGAAACATGGCTTTTTTCATTATCCCAGGGAAAATCCTGGGAGCTGGAGGGGCCTCTTTATCTATATATGACCTCCATATAATGGGAACAGAAATACTGTTTCCTCATAACCAAAAGCCCCGTGAATGGTATGTCGTAGTGGAATACATAGCCAAGTATAAGAAACACGAAGTCCATCTTTCATTCCTCATGTTCCTTTTCCCCTCCAGCAACTTCTCACTGAGGATCTGAGAAGAAAGAAGCTAGAAAGGGGGGAAAGGCAAAACAAGGAAAGAAAAAAAAAGAATTCAGAATCTCCTCCTCCCATAGACAGAGGCTCCCTTTGGAGGCAAGGTAATTCTGCTCCCCAGACCTTCAGCTATTGCAGCCAGGGATGTACCTCATCCACTCCAGACTGATAAGACTGTACTTTCTTTTCTGCCCCAGAAGGGATTAAGAGGAGATAACTTTCTGGTGCAGTAGCCCCACGTGGCCTTGTAAAGTAGGCACCAACCCTCTGGCTCAGCCTTTCCAAGTGCCATGCATCTCATCATAGGTCTGTAACATCTCAGGGAGGGAGCAAAGAAGCAAATAACTTTTGTGTGTGCACTTTGTGACCCTTTTTATGAACGAAGGCCTCATACCCCTGCCTGAGGGGAGGCAACTCTCATTCACATGTTTCATGGATTAGGTAACAGTCACTCCAGGCACAGCTGAAAACAGAACCTTGGTCAGATAGACCTAAGTCTCATCCATGTTGCCATACTGTCTTCCAGAAGGAATGTGCCAAACTGTGTGGTTGTCTCTGCTGTGTCTAACTGCATGACCAGTCTCTTCCCAGACCCAGGAATAAAACCCAGGAGTCATGATGCCCAACACTGCACTGCTGTCTTATAAATCATTGTCGATCCCCTTGGCAAAGCGTGTGTTATGCCTCCCTTTGTGGCCTGGTCCACACTGAGGATAGCAAGGTAGCACTGATGCTAGTTACTTCTATAGCTGAAGTGACAATGCTCTATGATGTGAATCTGAATGTGATGGTTTAATCCCTGCTAATGCTGGTGGAATGTATACGGATATGAGTCCGTCTTAAATTGTGAGTCCGGTGGCACCTTAAAGACTAACATTTATTTGGGCATACGCTTTCATGGGTAAAAAAACCTCACTTCTTCTGAAGAAGTGAGGTTTTTTACCCATGAAAGCATATGTCTAAATAAATCTGTTAGTCTTTAAGGTACCGCCGGACTCCTTGTTGTTTTTGTGGATGCAGACTAACACAGCTACCCCCGATACTTAAATTATTGTGAGGACCTTGGAATGATTGTACTTCATGAAATGGTTTTATTTTCCAGAACACTATATTTAGAATTGAATTTGTATGTATTAATATTTGATTTATTGTTCCATTTAATGTAGGTAATTTGAATAGAAGCTCTCACTTTAAGAACATGAACATTACAGAATATGCTTGAAAGAGATTTTGCCTGTAGGGTCACTGAGTGGTAGACCTCATAAAACTTGATTTAATAAACTAAAATTTCCAGAAAGCAAGCATTGTTCTCAAGGTGTAACATTAGCACTTATTAGAGGCCTGGATTTGTCAGGGCACTGCTACTCATAGACGTTAAGGCCAGAAGGGACCATCATGATTGTCTAGTCTGACCTCCTACACGTTGCATGCCACAGAACCTTGCCCACCAACTCCTATAATAGACCCATAATCTCGGGATGATTTACTGGAGTCCTCAAATCGTGATTTAAAGACTTCAAATTACAGAGAATCCACCATTTACACTAGTTTAAATCTACAAGTGCCCCATGCTGCAAAGAGAGGCAAAAAAACCCCACAGTCTCTGCCAATCTGACCCGGGGGGAAATTCCTTCATGACCCTAAATATGGCGATCAGTTAAACTCTGAGTATGTGGGCAAGATCCAGCAGCCACACACTTGGGGAAGAATTCTTTGTAATAACTCAGAGCCCTCCCCACTTAGTGTCCCGTCACCAGCTGTTAGAGATATTTGCTACTAGCAGTCGCAGATCGGCTACCTGCCATTGTAGGCAGGCTCATCATACCATCCCCTCCATAAACATGTCAAGCTCAGTCTTGCAGCCAGTTAGGTTTTTTGCCCCCATTGCTCCCCTTGAGAGGCTGTTCCAGAACTTCACGGCTTGGATGGTTAGAAACCTTCATCTAATTTCAAGCCTGAACTTCTTGATGGCCAGTTTATATGCATTTGTTCTTGTCAGCATTGGCCCTTAACTTAAAGAATTCTTCCCCCTCCCTGATATTTATCCCTCTGATATATTTATAGAGAGCAATCATATCTCCCCCTCAGGCTAAACAAGCCAAGCTCTTTGAGTCACCTCTCAAAAGGTAGGTGTAGTGGGGCAGTCACCCCACTCTGGCTTAAAAGCCAGCCTTGGAGAGAGATGGACCTGGCTGCCTAAAAGAGCAAAGGGTACCTTGGACAGCGCAGTGCTAGGGACGGGCAGGAGGAGCTGGGGGAGCTCCAGCCTGGCTGTCAGGGCGGGAAGAGGTATTAGGGCTGTGGGGGGGCAGCCAGGGAAGGAAGAGGCAACAGGTCCAATCCGATGATGAGTGGCCACGTCAGACTGCAGTTTGCAGGGAAGGGGCTAGATGAAGACTGGCAGTGGGTCAGTGAGGCGAGGTGGGCTTAGGGGATTGGGGTTCCCTGGGGAGGGGAGGACCCTGCGTGTGGGGGTACTGCTGGGGGGGCAATACCCAGGAAAAGGGGCACCGCGGGCCGATGAGGGACACAGGGCCTGAAGTACAGTGGTGGAGACTGACTAGGAAGTAGGTATCAGTAGGGAGACACCGGCCAGCAGAAAGTGCTCCAAGGCTGGGATGAGCTAATTCCCGAGGTAACCAGCAGGAGGTGCCACGGCAGTGAATGCACGCCATGTTACAGTAGGTTTTCCATTCCTTGGATCATCCTAGTAGCCCTTCTCTGCACCAGCTCCAGTTTGAATTCATATTTATTAAACATGGGAGACCAGAATTGCACACACTATTCCAGATGAGGTCTCACCAGTGCCTTTTCTAATGGCAATAACCACTTCCCTATCTTTACTGGAAATACCTTGCCAGATGCATTAGGCTTTTTCACAGCCACATCACATTGGCAACTCATAGTCATCCTGTGATCAACCAGTACACCCTGGTCTTTCTTCTTTTCTGTTGCTTCCAACTGATAAGCCCCCAGCTCATAGCAATATTTCTTGGTGTTAGTCCCTAAGTGCATGACCTTGCACTTTGCACTATTAAATTTCATCCCATTTCTATTACTCCAGTTTTCAAGGTCATCCAGAACTTCTTGTATGGTATTCTGGTCCTCCCCCATATTGGCAATACCTCCCAACTTTGGGTCATCCACTTATTTTATTAGCACAGTCCTACTCTTTGTGCCAAGGTCATTAATAAAAATGTTAAATAAGATTGGTCCCAACACCGATCTCTGAGGAACTCCACTAGAAACTCCCTCCAGACTGAGCATGCTAACTGGAGCCCTCCCCCCATCCTGGCATGCTCGGCCCCTGTCCCCGGCAGCCGAGCCTGGGCAGGGAGCGGGCTGCCACTGACTCCGAGCCAGGCTCTCAGGCAGAACCAGCTCCATCCTGCTCTCCGCCCGGCTGCCAGGACAGTGGCTGAACGTGCAGGGAGGGAGACACAGGGATGAAGACGCAGGGAGAAAAGGACAGAGCCCCTCCCCCCCCGCAGGTAATGTGGGGCAAGGATAGCGCTGCGACCCCAGGCTGGGTGCAGGGTGGGGGATCACTGGGCAGGGGAGACATGTACGGTGGTCACGTGCCCCCCCCCCCAATATAAGGAGTCATGTATGCTAGAGATATACAAGGATGGCCAGGCTGTGGCCACCAGAGAGAATAGAACCAGGAAGAATTCCACACAGCTCCAAGTTTCAAAACAATGCCGGATCTTCAACGGGGAAACTGTGGAAGATAATTTTCAGAATCCAGCAGGTCCAAGGGAATGGAGAGATGCACGGGACACACCTGTGGATGGCAGCTCGGCCCAACCTGTAAGAAAATCAAGGTTGTCCACAAAGAGTTCTCCAACCACGCAAGGAAGACAGGCGGACAACAGGACAATGTGCTGCATTCCCAGGGCTAGGCACGAGATGTCACACTAAGGTTTGAGAGGCTTTTGAAGTCGATGGGAAAAAATCCACTGGTGATGGTTCAAAGTAGCACTAATGACACTGCATCACAGCATATCTCATAGATAGTAGATGATATCAGGAAACTTGGAAGCATGGAAATCTAAGCCATCTTCTCTTTAGATCCTTTCTGTCCCATGAGTAAAAGACAGAATGCAGAAGATTCTGAAAGTGAACTACTGGTAAGTGGTGTAGGGTGGAGCATTTTGGTTTTGTGGCACATCGGCCCACCTGCTATGAGGAGAAGGGGCTGTATAGTTGGGATGGTTTCCACCTCAGTAGAAGGGTGACCCATCACCCCAGAGATAGGCTGGCTAGAGTAGTCAGGTGCACGTTACGCTAATAACAAAAGGGAAAGGGAAAAAGAGGGAAGATATAAGCACTCAGCAGCACAAAATCAAGATATTGGGAACAAAATTAATCAAGGAACCAAAGGATATGAAGAGAAGAAATTCTTTAATGGCCGATACACCAATGCTAGGAGCCTGGATAAGAAACAAAAGGCACTGGAATTCCTCATTTATAAGCATAAATTCGATCTACTTAGTATTACGAAACCCCAGTGGGATGAGTCACACTATTGGAATGTTAAATTCAATGGTTCTAACCTATTTTGGAAAG